CATCTAATCACACACACACACACACACACACACACATTTATGGATCTTGCAGACCCGTTGAGGAATGGAGGATACGTGGGAGAGGGGGGTGAAAGCCAGGCGCATACTTGTGGGGAGTCACGCTGAGTAAGCGTCATCGCACCCGTTCGGATACTCACCCCCAGAGAGGGTGGGACCTAACGGCCGCACACTCCACCGCGCACACCACCCGATTTAACACATCCGACATAAATGAAAAAAAGATGTGGTGTCTCCGTTTCCTGAAATCACTCCGGGGCCAGTGGTTAGGGTCCCCGCAGCGTTAGACAGAAACGTCTCTGCGCTCGGCCAAAGCCACCGAAACCAAGGCGTATTAATTCCCATGTAGTGTGCTCAGCATTTGTACACATTCAAATGGTCCTCATGCACTTTAAGTGAATCGGTCCGCTCGTCGTTAAAGAAATGTTTAATCATTGCACATAATCAATTGGAAATACAATACCATGGCTTTCGTAGATGGGTAAAAGCATAATATCTCACGAAGAGTGGGAACGGGAAAGAGGAGGGGAGGGGGAGAGTTACTAAATTTAGCTCAGCACATACTCACGCAGACATGGTTTCATCCCACTCAGTTCGGCATGCAAGGTGCGCACCAGCTTGGGCGGTGTGCTTTCATTTCCTGATAGGGTTGCCGGTATTTGCACCTGCGTTGGGGCGTCCTACACGGCTTGATGCTTGGAATCGCGCCCTTGTCACCTTCATCCTGCTTACGGCATCTGCGTGTAAATCCAAATAATCATTGAGTTTATTCTCAAACGCGTAACTAAAATCATTCGGTGACGGATCTCCTCCATAGGACGCAAAACACTACGCAGCTACAGCACTCAGGCGCCAACCAGGGCCTGACCAAAAACATTCAGCTTGGTTCTATTTACGACACATTTTTTTTTCGCATTTTTATCCAACGTATTTATAGCGTTTTGTTTTTCATTTTCGTTGCCTTACTCTCACCTCTTAATAAACTTGCTAATTGCACAACCTGTATTGCACTTTCGCTACATATATTCTTCTTTCAAATAAGCTACTCCTCGAAGTATCGCATACCGTGGTTTTGCCTGCGGGGAAAGGAGGTCACCGCAGCTCTGAACGGAATAGTGCAGATCACTAAAGGGTGATCATAGGGATAAGCGTGGCTGCAGGTCCCCCCTATCCTCGAGGCAAGGTCCGTTAAATAAAATCTGCAGGTGCTCGAGCGTTCGGAGGGGCAAATGAGGGGAAAAACGATAGTAATCGTGGCGTATGAGAATCGTAGAAAACCCAAATCCCTTCTCTGAGCCTTTCATCGCTGCCCAAATCTTTTGAACTTCTCAGAAATTATCACGAACCTTAAATGACGCTTCGCTCGCTCCGCGCTCATATTCTCTTGACAGTGTGAAGAAAAAGACAAGGAAAAGTGGTGGAGCATAGGTTCCCCCAAACCTGACGAAAGCAGTCCAGATCGGATATTTCTCTTGTACTCATTCAACAAACCGTTTTTTGATACAATAGTGGGAATGATGTCCTTGCATATCTGAAAAGTTTACATTGTGGTTCTGCTAGCAGGTGATAACAACGGCAGCACCAGGCTCTTACACGTGAACAGGTTATTGATTCGCTTCACGACGTAGTTTTGAATCGTTCTTCGCTTCCGAAGCGAGCCGATGCTTTGGAGGCCTTCCAAAACCAACGGCTCCCCCTCTTTGACGTGGTCGGGCGTTTCAAACGCCGCCATCAGGGCGTCATTCAGCTCAATGGTCGCCTCCATGACGACCTGGCGGACGGCGGCGCTGATGGTGGGATCGAGTTGCGTCCGCTGCACGGCTGGGATCTCCTCCCCGGCGGCCCGCGTGGGGTTGTAGGATCCACTGAGCTGAGAGAAATGATATCGCCGCAGCTGATCCAAGGTGGCCTCGGCCTCCGAAAGCTCCTTGGTGGTGTGGTTTAGCTGCCGTCGCGCCTCGGCGAGTCGGTTGATAGCGCTCGTTTCGACGCCACATGGCATCCCTCCTCCTCCTCCCACGGTTTCCTCTCTCCAGTTAGGGGGGGAGGGCTGCCTGGAGTTCTTTTTAAGCGCCTCAAGCTGCTTTTTAAGCATCTCGTTGCGCGATTTGGCGGCGAATAGCTGTTGTTTTTCCATATTGACGCGTCTCCGCAGGCTTATCTTGTTGCGAATCGCCTCCGCTTGTCGCTCTCGAGCAGTGCTCGACTCAAGGTTCAACTTGATAAGTTCTTTCAGGAGATATTCAGGGCATTTTTCCCCCGTGGCGGGCGTCTCCTCCCAGCTCCCTTTACCTGACGATGAGTTGATGCAAAGCCCTGAAGGACCCGTAAATAGCGACGCCGCCAGCTCGTTGGTGGTACGCCCAAGCGTCTCGACCATATTTTCTACTTCCTTGCTATGTATTATATTGGTTTCTTCCTTTAGTTTCCGATTCTCTCGAATATACTGTTGGTGCTCCGTATAGTAAGCGTCCTTGACTCGCTCGCACTCCTCCAGTCTGGCAATCCGTTCAGTAAAACTCGCCCCAATTTCCTGATCGCGAGCAGCTAATTCGCAAACACGACCTGACGCCTCCCTCATGCGGGCTAAGAGCTCTTCCCCCGACGATGTGAGCTCCTCCTGGACGCTTTGATGCAGCTCCGCTAATTGATCAAGCAACGCCGCGAGCTCATTGCCGTATCGGATTCGAATTTCATCCGCATGGGCCTTCTCCGCCTTCGTGAGCCCTTCAAAGTCGCCCAAAAGCTCCCGCTCGGCGCGAACGGTCTCCTGCGCGGACCGCAAGAGGTCCTGCGTTTTGGCGAATGCATCGGTGATTCGTTCGTAAGGGGGGACCCGATCTTTATCGTGAAGTTCGCGTGGGGAGGCCTCGCGCAGATCCCATTCGACGTTAAACAGGCCTTCCGTCGCCGCCACGTGCGTTCCATTCATCTGTGAGAGGCGATGGGGCTCGGCGCTGATGTGATCCCACACCCAGTTGGTTTCCCACTCATCGCCCGGGGGCTCAGGCGCGACAAGCTTTAGCTTCGGCTCCTTCACCTTCTTCTTCTTCTTCAAAGGCATCCTAGGGATCGAAGAAGAACGATACTACCCAAGGTATCTACCAAAAAAGAAAAAAAAAGAGAGAAAAGGTTTAGAAAGGGAGAAAGGAATAACCTAGCCATTAGGTGCAAAGCAGATCCACACCAATGCCCACTCGCAAGCACGTGTTGCCTCACAGAATCGTATTTTAACGCTTTCTTAGCGATTCTGTGAAAAGTACCCGCAAACCATACAAGAGGTGAGCACTACGAAAGTCTCAGATCCATAGCAACGTAAACAATGGCGGGGTTTAAGCACATCGTGCCCAACGCACGTTTCCCCCAATCGTGGGGCATTCTCCTCACCCCCCGACTTGGAAGTGTTTTCTTTTCTGAACTTCTTCCTCCCTCTTCACTTGCGTGGGCAATTAAAGGGTGATTGCCGCAGATACGAATAGACGTGTCGGAAGAATTGAAACCAACCCCAGGCTGCTGTAGAGAAGTCATGGAGATATCGCATACGCCTTCCACATGCCCTTCGGCGTTGCGTTTGGCATGCATAACGTATGAATACTCCCTCACAACCCCCAGCGTACATCAACCCTAAGCTTCCCCACAGTGTGTTGCATATTCTCCCCAAGTTGTTTTATCCGCGTGAGGTTGTGATTCCAAATATCGAGACCAACTCACTTTTTTTTTTCTTGTTCAGAAGCAACCAAACAAGTTGCAACTACACCGACTGAACGAAAAAGGCATCCCTCGCATGAAGATGCGACGCTTCGTTGCGTATGCACCGTTTACCATGCACAAAATAACATGCCCGCCTCGCTTTTCCTGATGTTATTTACATAAGTGCAGGTTGCCGCAGATATATAAACACAGACAACAACAATACACACGTTCCACGAGGGAAAGAGAGAGCTAACCACAAATGCCATTACTTTTGATAATTACAAATATATATATATATATATATATATAATAAGGGCCCTCTTATTGACATTCCAAACCGATACAGGAGTAGGAAGAGATCAGATCCATCCGTCGTTTTTCAAAGAAAACAAAATACATCGTTGTTGATGAAGCAGCATTTGATCTTGATAGTTTACATCACAATACTAATATGAAAGATAATGGTAAGGAGGCCTTATTGCAGATTAGTTAGATTCCATCTTCCCCATCCGCCGACTCCCCGCCGGCGTCCAACTCCCCCCATCGCAGACTCCGCATCCGACTTTCCAGGCTCATATTCTGCGACCGCCGTTGCTCAAAACGCCGCGACATCACCTCCTTGAGCGTCCGCAACCGCGCGCTCTCCTCCTCGGCCTGAAGCAGTGCCGCGGCGACGTCGATTTCCCCCCC